ATTTTAAATTTTAAAAAGAAATTTAAACTTATTTTAATAAGTAACTTTAATTAAAAAATTAAATATAATAATAATATCTAAAAAAATTTAATCTTAAAACTAATAATTTTTTTAAAATTAATTATGACCAATTAGGACTAATTAGGACTTTACCAACCCTAACTATACTTGAAAGATAGCATGCAGACCTTATTCAAGAAAGCTTTTTCATCTCGCTTATTATTATTCTTCATAATCTCGACATCCTGATACTTATGAACATTTTTCATAGTCTTGCCATATACTGATACATTCATAAGTTTGAAAAAGTCACTCAGGAATGTATTTCTAGCTTTTTTAGCCTCATTACGTTTCTCAGTATTAAAAGATATATATAGTACAAGCCAGTTAGTCTGGTCGAAGAAGAGTATTTCTGAAACTACATCTACAACCATACTTAATTCTACATAATATTAGAGCTCTTGATAATGGATGACATAGTTCTTTCATGATCTAAGATTGAGAACTAATTTTTTTGTGGTAGAGAAGCGTTCACCATCTAATTGTTCTACAAGTTTAACATTATAAGGACTTAACCAATCCTTTTCTACAGTAATATTTTCTATAGCTGGAAGTAAGTCTTTTAAATAATCATGAGTCTTTAGAGAAAAATGAGCATTAATATTTAAGAAATACCCTCGTTTAATATCAGATCGTATATTGAGAATCTTTTTAAGATATTTCTTCTGCATAGCTAGATTTTTTAGTAAATATTTCCGACTAGCTTCCCATTGATATTTTCTGATAGGCAAATATTGGCTCATAGAATGTCCATAATATTTGTTGCATCTACATATAATATCCAAAATATGGGTTTGGATGGGTCATAGACTTCTTTCATTTTGGGATTATTAGCCTTAAAATATCATTAACAAGCCATAGATATTCTGCCACGCTTAGCTTTTTCGGTAAAATCATGCATGGTCATATCTGTAAAAAGTTCAATCCTAACTCTTGACATCTTAAGCATTCCATCCCAGGATAATGATGGGGGCAGAAACATAGTGACTGGGATCAAGTTTATAATATCCTATAGATATTTTTCGAAACTTTGTTCAGATATCTGCTAGACTAAGTATGTCAGTCTTAAGATAGAGATCATGGTATTCACCTAGATTTTTACATTTGAATTTCTTCCATACTTTCTAGGCGTGTTTGTAGTCATTTTGTGAGATTTTACCTTTAAGTATACTATAAAATTCATGAATGGGAAGAAGTTCTATCTCCTAAAACCTATCATGAGAATTGATATCATCATAAAAATAAACTCTTTTGCAATATACTAATGCTAATTGCTTCTCTGTATAATCTAATTTTTTGAAATATTGACTTATTATTTGGTGGTTATCACCCAAATTTTTTGTAAGACTAGCCAAGCTACTATTCATGAACTGCATGCTATCTATATATTTAAGTTAGCCTGCCTTCATAAACTTGTATCGCTCAAATGTTTTAGCTATAACTTGAATATGAAAGGTATTAGCTGATCGTCCAACAGATTCACATATTAAGTAAGAGTCATAACCTCAGAAGTTATAGAAGATGACTGATATTAGAGTCTTCCAATCCTGTATTTGGAGTTTAATATTACAATTCTTATAAGCTGATTCACGAAACTTACCTGTGATATGACAGTGAATCCAGACCTTATTGGCTTTAGCTTTTTCGTTAGCAATTACCTTAGTTGCTTTATCAATAGTTGTTTCGATGTTATTATATTCAGCTGAACCTTTTTAAACTTTTCTAGCTTCACTTTAAGACTGGTTATTTTGTTCTCTAAACGCTCAATTTCATATATATCTATATCAAACTTACCTTTACAGATCTAACAGCTAATAGCATTAGCAAATCTTTTCTTGTCTTCTTCACTCTCAATTCACTCATGTTTGATGGCTATAATCTCATTGATTTTGATCAGCTCCTAATCGATTTTTCGAATAAATTTCTGTGTAGCATTTTCTTTCCTATATAAGAAAGGACACCATACATCTCTAGTGTCGATCCAGTGAATCAAATAGCAGAAACTATTGGCTTTCTGCTCAGCGAGTTTAATCATACTTCCACCATATGTCTCATTATATTTTTTATTGAAAGCCTCAAAGTTAGCTATAATAACACATGAGGCATTGATCATTCGGCCATAGTTTTTGAACTTCTCATAATCATTGACTTCTTTCACTAGCATTGCGACTCTTTGAGAGGCATTTTCATGTATTCCTGAATACCATTCTAAATGATGTTCAAAAGACTTTTTAGAAGGCCAGCTTATAGTGTATCCATCATATAGATATTTTTTAGCTTTATATGCACTATTATCATATATTAATCTGCTAGGATTTTTGATTCAGAGAAAATGGTTCTTTTAAACATACTTATCTGTCTCATTATCTTTAGTAATATCTGTAAGGGCTAATAGACGAATTTTATGTTACCTTTTAAAGTTTTTACTAGCAATCATAGGTTTTGGTATAGCTGTTTCTTCTTTCCATTCTCAGACACTGATGGAGATATCTGAATTCATCTCCTCAATCTTATTAAATATACGTGAATAGATGGGAGTGGACATTGGGATTCCATCTAGCTTGACTACATCTAAATATGGTTTATATTTTATAGCACGAAAGATTCTTTCAAAATGATCTATATGTCTATCCTGATGAGTGAAATAACAACTTAAAGCATCTTGAAGACACTTTTCAGAAGGTCTATTTGTTTCTGAATCTATAAGTACATAATTATTCGAATTGATAGTACATTTTGTATTAGCTAGCTTCTTTGGAGTAGGAATATAAGATCCTCCTGTGGCTCGTTTATATTTATATACCTCAATAATTATTTCAAGAATTCGTTTGAGAACATATCCAGATCCCTTTTTTAATGTTTTCTCAATCTGATTATCTATTTCTCCAGCAGATTTGGTTATATGCTCATCTATATTATTTGTTAAAAGCAAATATCGCATCTTTCCTTTTTCATTATTGTATACAAATGATGTATGATTTGTGCCATCTCGATCTCTTTTAGTAATTGAATACAAACACAATACTACTATAGCTAATTTTATTTAGTCTTTTCTACGAAACTCTGTTTGAAGAACTTCTGTTATTTTTATATGAATTAGTCCCATAAGTTGAGACATGTATGGAATTTCTTTATATTATATAGGATCAGCTATTGGTTGAATAAAAGCATATTTAGGATTGTCATCAGAATGGTGAACTTTGCCTACCTATTTGCTCATTAAAGATCGATTTTTATGTGGTCTTTCTAGATCCCTTCCAACTGAACATTCTTTAAAGTGAATATTCTCTACTCAATTAAAAGCTTCAGGAGTTAGGATTTCTTCTCTATATGTCTGAGTTGTTGGATCAGGACCAGCTTCAGGATCCTCTTCTGGTTAGGAAACTTTGATTTTCTTTTATTTTTTACTAAAGGATCTTTCCATCAAATCAAACCATTCAGTATCAGTTTTAGGAAGCTTTTTGTTTGTAATAGTTAGGTTATTTTTTATCTCTGATTTCGTTAACCAATTAGCCAAATCCTCTATAGACAAAGAAGTAATTTCCTTTTGACTAGAAGTCTCAGGAGTTGAAGCTTATATCTCTTGAATAATAATTTCAGGATCTAGTCCGCATTGATTTTTATTACTTTTATAATATTGACGAAGTTTAGCAGGTCTTGTAAATTTATAATTGCAATCTCTACAAGTAGAATTTTTCTTATCACTTCTAAGCATGATATTAATAAGTCTCACCTGTTTAATATTGTGTAAACTTTTGTTTAAATAAAATAATTACCTCTTTGAATATATCTGCTATTCACTTTTCTATATTGCAGATAATTTTATTTAATTAAATTTTTTTATTCCTATTGTAAATGATGGCATCTTATACTTGCGACTATCTTCATAACTCTGGCAAGATTTGTAATAAAGCCTGCACACGATTTGAAGGATGTCGGCAACATTGGAAGACTAGAAAGCGATATCCTTGTACTGATTGTGGCAAACCTACTGCTACAGCTTATGGACGGTATGCTGAACATATTAGAGGATATTATTTCATGCAATATTATAATAAATTGCGGAATAAGGTTTAGAGATTAGACTTGATAAAAGGTGCGACTTAGAATATGGTATGTATTTTAAGCTTCTTTCAGCTTTTCATTCTGATTTTTCCGCACTTAGAGGCGAGACTTGACAAAAGGTATGACTTAGAGATATGCATTTTAGGCTTTTTTCAGCTTTTCATTCTGATTTTTCTGCATTTAGAGGTAAGACTTGAGGTGAGACTTAGAATATGATATGCATTTTAGGCTTCTTTCAGCTTTTTATTCTGATTTTTTTTCCGCATTTAGAGGTGTTACTTAGTGTATATATATATATATATACCTTAGAGATGTGATTTAGAGATGAAACTTAAAATATGGTATGTATTTTAGGCTTGCATAATCAGGTTCAGCTCAAATCGTGTCACTTTGTTCCTTGATTTTCAATTGTCTCTCTATAGCCAAGCAGAATAGCATAAAAGTTATTATTAAATTTGGGTTTGCAATGTCAGGCCCAACTCAAATCACGTCACTTTGTTCCTTGATTTTCGATGACTCCTCTTGAGACAAACAGAATAGTAAATTTTTTTGATATATTATTTAGGATTAAAATCAAGCTAGAATGGTTATATCAAACAGTATAATTCTTGATATCTGAAGGTTAATTTCTAGCCAAGTTCGATATCATCATCTAGAATTGAGTCAAAATGCACTAGAGTATTGAATTTGATAATTTGATTCATATAGCTAAAATGGATTCAGAAGTATTTAGGAATCTTACTGAGTACTATTTGAAATTTTGTCTCAGAACCCCTTTTTGTCCTATATGCTTATCAGTTAAAAAAGCAAATAAAATTATAGCCCAAAGGTTAAAAGTAAAGAAAAATAATGATAAAAAATAAAGTGAATAGATAGCAAAATAAATTAACATCTGAAATCCAACAATTATCTGATAAAGAAATTCCAACAGTCATCTTATTACAATTATGTGTTATCTAAAAGTTTTACAAGCAATCACTACAATTTGGAGAGAAATTACATCAAATATTTTTAGTTGTATACTAGACAATAAATAAATATTATTATTATATGTTGTGACATAATATAAAGTAAATTAAATTGCATTGGAAAATATTATTGATTCAATATTTATTGCTACATAATTTACATAAAAAAAAATTCATAATTAAACTTTTATATGGATCCATATATAGTTTTGATTTAATTAGTTAGGCAGATATGACATGTTTGTTAGGTTTTTTTATTTTTATTTTTATTTTAAACCTTTTTTTAATGTTACAATTATATACAAAATATTAAATTGTTTTAAAATTAATTTCAGAATTCTGTGCAACTGAATTTTTGCCGATTAACGTTAATCTGATGAAAATCGATTTAAAGTCGTTATCATTAAACGATTTTGCTGAGTTTGAGATTATAACAATCGACTTTCGACTTTGGGTTATTATTAAAAATATCAACATATTTCCTAATTTTATGTCTTCAAAAAAAACTTTCTCACATTTGAAACATAATGTATTAATATAATAATTGTCTTTTTATAATTAATAAAAATTTAATATTAAATCACGTTAAGCATATTTTTGTATTTATTTGATTTTATTATTTTTTATTATTTATAAATACTTATGCCATATATGATTAAAAGAATTTTTAAGAGTATTTAACATTAAGAAAAAGTTTAATCTTTCAATTATATATAAACAAATAATGAAAATGTTAAATCAAAACAATGTAAAGCAAGCAAAAGTATAATCATAGCATATCGGAATTGTCGGATACGTTCAAATGCAAAGCAAAAACGGAGGTTGAAAATGCGAGAAAAAATTTAATCGACGGGAAAAACTTCAAAATATGAAAAAAACTTGAACTGCATAAATCTATAGGTAACAAAACACGTTCATGGAACTTGAGAAATGAAACTTCGAACAAACTTTATTTGAACATTTTTAACCCCTGAATTTTTTTCCTCTGATCGTCATCATGCAACATCTATCCAAGGGTGTATCTAATACATAATTATATAATCTTTTCTATCTTGCGTTAGAGTTTTCAATTCTAAACAACTAATTCACATGGCTGACGTTGAAATTCCTGATCCAAAGCTAAATTTTGAACAGAATGAACTTGTTTTATGCTTTCATGGTCCTTTGCTTTATGAGGCCAAGGTATTGTCGAACTAGTTCTAAATTATTTGTTCCTTATAACAATTTTACGTTTAGCTGACTAAAAATTATAGATCTTAAAAGCTGAAAACTGGGGCCCTAATGATTCAGATTCTGGTGACACTGGACCACACTATTATGTACATTACAAAGGCTGGAAGAAAACGTACGTAAAATTCGCGTTTAAACGCGTTATTGTGAATTATCGCGAGATTAATTTTTAATATTTTAATAGATGGGATGAATGGGTTCCGGAAGAAAGAGTAGTAAAACACAACGAAGCAAATTTAATTAGACAGAAACAACTTAAAGACACATATTCAAATAAAAAAAAGAAACCGGTCAAAACAATTTATAAGATTGAGGACCAAAATAAAGGAAGTGATTTCTCGGAAAGTTCGCTAAAACATCAAGGAGGTAAGTCGAGCTCGTCAAAAACAATGTTGAAAAAGGATCAAAGGGCTTTCGAATTAACAAATTATCGTCATTATATCAGAAGAATCAGACAGCGAAGATAGGAATGACACAGAATCACTGGAGGATCAACTACAGAGAGATAATCAAGAACGCGGGAAAAAAAGAAAAAAAATTAATGAAGAAGAAGAAGAAGTTAGTCGTTGTTGGATTATTATTGGAATATTTTCATAATGCTTTCACTCGTAGTTTGATATAATATTATTTAATAATATAGGAGGAAGAGTTCATGAACCGTCTCGAAATCAAGATACTACTACCAGAGTCACTAAAAGTCAAATTAATTGATGATTGGGAAAACGTTACGAGGAATAATGCTGTATTTATTAAATTATTTCAATCAAAAATCTGTTTATTGTTGATAATAAATTAATATTTTTCTTTCATTGTAGTTATTGAAATTACCTCGGAAATATACTGTTGCAGAAATCTTGAATGAATATTTGGATTTCAAACACAATTCGATAGCAGCCACAGCTTCCAATCCGAAATCTGATAAGTGAGAATGCAAGTTCTTTAAATGGATTATATAAATATTTATGTTTATATTAAACTGGCACCAAATATTTTACAGGGATGATATACATTCAGAAGTTGTCCAGGGTATTAAAATATACTTTGACAAAACTCTTGGAAATATTCTTTTGTATGCTGAAGAACGTCAACAATACGTAAACATTCGTAAGCAATTCCTTGATAAAGAAAATTCAGAGATATATGGAGCAGAGCATTTGTTGCGACTTTTTGGTTTGTAAATTTATACATTTTGTATACAAATATTCATTTAATATTAACTAAACTGATGTAGATATGTTTTAATTTTATCAAAAAGTTGAACTTCCACGATTACTTGCTCATACTACAATGGATCAAGCAGCTACAGAGACTCTTGAAGAACATTTAATTGATTTTTTAAAGTAATATCATTTGTTTTAGTTCAATTGAAGAAATTATATTTATTTTTTGCTAATTCTATTATTGATTAAAGATTTCTACAAAAAAATGAAGACCGATACTTTGCCGAAACCGAATATGAACGCCATGGTATGCTACCGCCAAAAATACAAAAGACAACCGGAAAAAAGATATGTGGTTATATTAATATGAACGAACGAGAGGGTAATTTTAAATTATGTTTAATCAATGACATTATGTACTTCGGATATATCCACATATCTTTTTTAATGTTGTGTTTTTCGTTTCAAATGTTATATGCTTGCGATAGTGATTGATATTTTTTTTTTTTTTTTTTAATATATAAATATAGGTTGGGTCTGTGCAAATTGTAAAACGTCAAATACACCTGGATGGAGAGCGGGCGAATCTCCAGACCAAAAGCTTTGTAACGGTAAATTTATTATTATTATTATTAATTTAATTTTGAATTAAATATGATGTAGTATTTTGAAAATTTTGAAACTTTATTTAAAATTTCAACTTATTCCTTTTTATTTTAGCATGTGGTCTTTATTTTGCCAAGTATAAAGCACATCGTCCTGAACATCTTTGGAATAACTTACGAAATAAGACTGCATAATTGTAAAGTTTTATCATTTATTCTCTCATTATTATTGTTAAATATTTACCATTTTGATCAAATAGCTAATGCAAAATTTTCCACAATAAATAATGCATTTGTGAATTAATGATTAATGTTTATATTTTAATAATGAATAGGTTTAATTTCAATCTTTTTTTTGAAAAAAAAAAATATCAATGTATAAGAATTGCATTAATATCTAGTTAATCCCTTTTAATTAAAAATTAGCGATTTGTATATATTATATAATTGTAAAAAAAAAAAAAGAAAAAAAATTTAGAATATATGAAAAAAAATGAATAGATATAAAAGAATAAATTTAATAAATAAAAAATAATTTTATTAATATTTTATATAACTGATTTTAAAAAATTTAAAAAATTTGTTATAATATTAGAAATTTTACTAATTAACTTGATAAATAAAATCAAATTATTAATTTATAATTTAAATTTAAAATTTACTAAATATTTTTATACTTTTTTATTATATAAATATTTTGAAGTAAAAAGATATAAAATGTTTTTTGTCAACTTATTTTACTAAAAAAACCATATTTAATATATAAAGAAAATTATAATTTTATACCTTTCTATTGCAAAGTGTTTTATATTATATATAAAAATCAATTAAAAATAAAGTATTATGAGTTTTATTTTAAAAATAATTAGTTTTATATATTTTTAAAAAATTTGTAAAATAATAATTAAATAAATTATAATTTAAATCAAACTTTATATATTTAAAAAATAATTCTTTATTATTTTAAAATATTTATATAATATTAAATTATATAAAAATCATATTTATAAATTTAATTAAATATTTAAATAAAATCAAAAAATTAATTATTTTTTTTTAATTATATATTTATAAAAGGAAAAATGTATTTGTAACACCTGTTACATATAACATTCCTTTAAAAAAAAAATGAAAAAAAAAGTTATAATACATCAATATAATAAAAATAATAAAATTAAATGTATTTTTACCTGTTCTGCAAAATTAATTAAGATGATAAGAGTGGTTTTAAATATCATTTATGATTTATTTGACAAACCCATTTTTTATTAAGTAATCAGTAAAGAAATTTTCTTTTTTAGAAATTAGTGTAATCTTATACTAACAAATCATTGATTTTTGATAAGAGCAAAATTTTCCTTTTTTGGATTTGTATAACATAAATTGACTAATAACAATGCATTTCGTCAGAACGTTACAGATAAGACATGTAATAGGATTAGGGTTTCTCAAAATCAAATCAAATATTAAAGCAATTTGAATTTGATTTGATTTTTTCGAATCAAATCAAATCAATCAAATCAAATCAAATATAAAATTTTTTTTTAATTATTATAATGATAAATTAAAATAAAGTTTTTTCAAAGTTTTAATTAAAAAATCATTAGTAATTGCACTAAAAAATTTTAAAGATAGCTTTTACAAAGTAAGTTTAGTAACAAATGCATTTTTATTAAGAAAAACATAGTAAAAAATGCCTCTACAGCTTCAGAAATGCTTTTTTACTATGTTTTTTTTAGTAAAAAACGTTTTTGAAGCTGTGAAAACGTTTTCTACTATGTTTACTAAGTAAAAAAAGTCCAGTTTATTTACCTGACGATCAATTCACTGATGAGCGTTTTACCGACAAGATCATTTCGTCGACAGTATCATTTCGCCAAAAATCATTTTATCAACATTAAAAAAATATATATTTTTTAATTAAATCAATGTAAAGTAAATATGCGTATTTAAATTTTTAACAAATTTGATTATTTGATATTTTATTCATTACTATTTAATATAAAATATTAAAGTATATAAAATGAATAAAAACTAATTTTATTACAAACTATTTAAAATGAAAGATTATGAGCAATTCCTCGAAGAAATTCCATGAGTGATCGGTTTTCACGATCATTATATACTGTTTGAATTCGATTTTCATGTTCACGGTCTTTTCTTCTTTGTTGAGGTCGTGGTGCTCTTCGCAAAATTGATTCTATATTAAGTTGAACTTAATTTTGCTCATTTTGTATATCTTTAATAATTTTAAATACACCCACATGTGCACGACTAATGTCTCCCATCTTCTATGCCAAGCTTCAACAGAATTTTGGATTCGAGGAAATGCATATTCAATATTATCTGT